CAAGTGCTCATTTATTGCCTGTGAAAGGTGTGGAAGGGAAGCACAGTAAAAGTTAGCTAAGCTACAATGCCACACGGAGCTCAAAGACTGGGCCTCTCTGATCATTCAACCTTCTCTGAAAGAAAAGATGGGAAGTCTCCTCCTGGGTCCTTTACAGCCTCAGAGTTGGAACTGAATCATGCTGATCTTTCAATGGGATTTTTGAAAGACTGTAAATGGGATGGGAGATGATTGTTCATCTTTCTCCCTTGGGGGTACTGGTGGGTTTCAGTTGCTAGAGAGGCACTGTGTTTAGGGTGGCAGGACATCTCCTGTGGGCTGTACCACCATATCTCCCTCAGGATGGTGCTGGACTGGGAGACCTCGAATCTTCTATGCCTAGGTTGTCACCAGTTGGAGTTCACTTGAAAGCAGCTAATGATGAAGAAAAAGAAAACAACAAAAAAACCCCCAGCAACAACAAGAAACCCTAGAAACAATGTTAAAGGGCTAGAAAATATCCTAAAATAAATTTAACAAAGTTAAAAATATTTATGAATAAGGTGCAGTTTTCCTTCAAGGAATACACAAGAAATCCCAGTTCAGAGTTCAATATTATAAATATTGCAAAATTTTTCCCAAGTTAGCACAGTCACTTTCTGCAGGACTTTTAATGGGCTTAATTGAAATAATTTTTATATTAGTAATGGGGATAGTAAACCAGTATTTCTTTTTAAAGAAACAGAAATGTCTTACTTGATAATAATAATTCCGCTAAACACACTCTCCAAAAATGAAATGAAACACACTTTCAGCCACTAGGCTGAGTCCAACGTATGGTGATTCTAGCACACGGGAGACTAGCACATAGTGTTTTATGGGCTTGAAATCTTTATGGGAGAAGATTGTGTTATATTTCTCCTACAGAGTAGTCTGTGGGCTTAAACCCTGGAACATTGGGTTATCAGTGAAATGCTTTAAACATCATATTATCAAACTTGCTTTTAGGGGAATTAGCAATCAAAAGATCGAAAGATGTGTTACCTTGGGAAAATCTGCTGTCAAGGGCCTCTCCAAAATGCTAAGGATAAAGACTAAGGTCCACCTGATACAAGCCATGGTTTTTTTTTTCAATCATTTGCTATGCATTTGAAAGTTGCACAATGAAAAAAGATAAAAGAAGAAGAATCAATAACTTTGACTTGTGCTGGAGAAAGAGTACTGAATATCCCGTAGATTACCAAGTGAACAAACAAGTATGTTCTGGACATTTAAGTGGAATCGTGGTGTTCCTTATAGGTAATGATTGTGAAGCATCATTTCACATACTTTGGACATGTTGTTGTTGTCTGTGTTAAGTGCTGTTGAGTTGAGCACAACCCATTGCAAACCTATGAACAACAGAACTGACCCCTGTCCTATCCTGTGCCATCCTCACACCTTCCAACACATTAGAGCCCATTGCAGAATTAACTGTGTCAATCAATCTGGTCCAACGTCTTCCCCTCCGTCAATGACCCTCTGCCTTTCTGAGCATCACATCCCTCTCCAAGGAATAGCCTCTTCTGGCAACATGTCTAAAGTATGTTAGGCAATGCTTTATTATCTTTGCCTCGAAAGAGCATGCTGGCTACACTTTGCCCAAGACAGATCAGTTGGTTCTTTTGTCAGTCCCTGGAATGTTCAGTGCTCTTCTCCAACACTACAGCTCAAAGGCATCAATGCTCTATCATCCTAACTCATTATCCAGCTCTCAGATGCAGAGCAAATGTTCAGAAAGACCACAGCCTGAATCAGAAGTACCTTAGTCCTCAAACTGACATCATTACCTCTCAATAATTTGGAGAGGCCCCTAACTGCAGACTTTCCCAGTACCATACGTCTCCTGATTTCCTGACTGCTGTTACAAAGGGTGTTGACTGTGGATCCAAATAAGAAGTTGCTGACATTTTTATTCTTTTATTTATTATGATGTTGCCTATTGGTCCAGTGGTAAGAACTCTTGTTTCCTTGATGTTGAGATGCAATCCATATTGGAGGCTGTATTCTTTGGTCTTCTGCAACAAGTGCTTCAAGTCCTCCTTACTTTCAGCAAGCATATTATCTTGCTATCTATTGTTATATATTGCGGTATATTGCTATCTGCAAAGCACAGGTTACTGATGAGTCTTCCTCCAATCTTGATGCTGTATTCTTCTTCAGAGTCCAGTTTCTTGAATAATTCACTCAGCATAAAGACTGAATAGGTACGGAGAGAGAATTCACCCCTGACACACTCTCTTCTTAATTTTACACCATGTAGTATTCCTTTACTATGTTCATACAACAACCTCTTGGCCTTGGTATAGTTTTGCATGAGCACAGTTAAGTGCTCTAGGATCCCTATTCCTCTCAATGTTAGCCGTGACATGTTATGATTCACATAGTCAAAGGCCTTTACAGTGTCAATAAAGCACAAATAGACATTCTTCCGGTATTCTTAACTTTTAGCCAGGAACCATCCAATATCAGCAATGATATCCCTGGTGCCATGGCCTCCTCTAAATACTGCTTGAATTTATAGCAGTTCCCTACCTATGTACTGTTACAGCAGTTTCTGAATAATCTTCAGCAGTATTTTGCTTGCAAGTGATATTAATTGTATTATTCAAAAGTTTCCACATTGTGTTGGATCACCTTTCTTGGGAATAGGAACAAATATGAACCTCTTCCAATTCATTGGCCAGACAGCTGTCCTCCAAATTCCTGGCATAGACTGGTGAGTGCATACAGGGCTTAATCTGTTAATTGAAACAAGTCTCAATAAGTAGCCCATTGACACCTGGGCCTTATTTTTTACTAGTGCCTGCAATACCGCTTCCACTTCCTCTGTCATTACCACGGGATCCTGTTTATATGGTACTTACTGAAATTTCTCAGTGTCAGTGCAATGACTCTGTGTATTCCCTCCATCTTCTTTTGATGCCTCCTGGGTCATTCAATATATTACCCGAAACATCTTTCAATATTGCGACTTGAATTTGTTTTTCAGCTTGAGAAGTGCAGAGTGAGCTCTGCCCTTTTTATTCTTCCATTGTAGCTATATGCACATCCTAATGTAACATCTGCTTGTCTTCTGCTCTGTTGGCAAGTTTCCTTTGTTCTGGCTTCTCAATTCTCTAGTGCAATTTTCAGAGTCTCTCTGACATCCATTTCTGTTTTCTTTTCCCTCTCTTTTGCTTTTGTAATGATCTTTTTATTTTTTCACGGATGATATCATTGATATCATTCCACAACTGAATAATACAACAATTATGATTAAAAATAAAACAGGGAGTTCTGACTGTATACTACTACACTGTGTATACTAGTAAGACTAACTCACACTAATACAAATCAAATGTATTTAAGAGATGAGAGTTTGCTATTGAATGCAGTTTTATTTTTAATATTTTTTCTCGATTTTCATATAATAATACCTTGACAGTATGTTTCATTCACTTAAATTGTGTTTTCAACAATCTTCATTTACTCTAACTCAGCCACAACATTTTCTCAGAATTAAAGACTCCATTATTTTCAATTTGACGTGCGTTGGGTTAACTTTTATCACTGTGTACAGTCTTCATTCCTTCATCTGATAAACAACTGTTAAGTAACAGCTATGGGCTATCATGATGATGGAGACGGTTAGAGACAAACCCCACGTGAACAGTCTGCAGGAGGGAGAAGTATTTTGATGACTCTCATTTGCTGTCATGGATTGTGACCCTCCCCACAAAAATACACATATGTAAAGATACCGTGTGGAAGTTATCTAATGATCCTCATGATCTGAAAAAAATTATTGTAAAAGGAGTAAGGGGAGGATGCAACGTTCTTAATCCAATCACACTTCTGATCTGATATGACGGGGTTTCTCTGGGGTGTGACCCGTAACACCTTTTATCTGACAAGAAATAAAAGGAGAGAAAGGTGAGCAGACAGGGGAAAGCTCAGAGCCACCAGGACAGAAGAGAGAAGGGTGGGTGCATCCTTTGGACTTGGCTTCCTGCTCTGAAATACTCTTAGAATCAAAAGACACAGAGATGAAAAAAAAAGGTCCCTGCAAAGCCAGCATCTTGCATTTGGGCCTGTAGGAGAAGAAAAGGCCTGTCTACTAAAACCATCCACTCTCTTACAGTAGTATCTCTGCTATAGCAGCATTATTAGATAAGTAAGATATATGCAAACTGAATGCAGGTAGAAGCTGTACTAACAGACTGCTGTCAGTACCTTAAAATGTCTACTGGGTCACTACTACTAACCACTTCCATTGTGCTGGAAAAAATACACTACACCTCTTAATATAGACACCATATTTTACATAATTCTCACATAATATGGCCCTTCCTACAGTTAAGGGTCTCTGGCTGCAGAATCTGCGGAGAGTTGCACTGCTAACATAAAAGTGGTTTCTCTCGGGCCGTTCAAACGCACCAAGGGCTCTGCTGGAGAAATACGGAGTCTTCCCTGTGCAATCAGCAGTGTCAGAAACCCCACAGCTCATAGGGTCAGCTAGGAGCCGTTTCCGGTTTGACTTTGATGATAATGAGTTTGAGGTGTTTATGCTTTGTTTTTTGTCTTTTTAGTTCACACAATTTGGTCCAACTGAATCAAAGAATATGAAGTATCTCTATTAATATTTCTCAAGTATTTTGTCAGAGGGGATTTTAATTTAAATAATTGTGAAAAGAGCATCATTTGCCCAGAGATAAAGCCCAGAAGGCAGGGAAGCATGAGAGAGCAAGATTAATGGATGAGAATTATAGAGTAGAAATAGGAAAAGTATGAAATATAATCAATGTATAGAAATCAGATAATAAACATATCCTTAGAAGGAAAATGGAAGGCATGTATACATGATGAAGGCTGAAAGGCACGACCAGATCATAGCCTGGTCATAGCTGAAATTCCCTGAAGAATAATAGTGACAGAGTGCTCAGAGCTGACGATAGGAAAGCAAGAGCTTCACAAATGAAGGAAGTGAATCTCACGCCCACCTCTTTGACCAGCAGACTTTCAGCTTTGCTTGCAGCATCTTCAGGCACTGTTGAGTACAAGGTCCGGATATCCCAAGACACTGTGGCTGTCTGAGAGGAACAAGGAGAGAAAAAATAAAAATGAAACACTTCCACACAATAGCAAGGAGCAGATAATCAAACTGTGAACACAATAGGAAAGCTATTTTAGATCTTCACTTTTAAGCCTTGCAGATATTTTAACAGAGAAACTTCTATAATTCTTAACATTCCTTTGGCTTTCATATTGTACGAACACTCCTACAATTCCTGTTGTATCAAGACAGTTCATGATATTTAAACTCAGTTCTTGCAGGAAACAACAATAATAACAAAAATGGATATCTACATATTTTTAACTTTGGCGTATCTGCTATATTATTTATTTTGTTGGTAAGGCTAAAATCAACATGAAGAGGAGAAAAAATGTACAAGTCAGCACTATTTTCACACTGTGTTAAAGATGTTTTTGAATAATCAGAGTAATGTTGCCTTTCTTAGAAAGTGGAGGGTCAGCAAGAGAGGTTAAGACCCTCAGTGGGCTGGACTGACACTGTAACAATGGCCTGGGCACAGCTGGGCTGAGACTGTGAGGATGTCCCAGGGCACAGCAGGGTTTTGGTTTGTTGTTTCCAGTTCACTGTAATCAGCTAGACTGCACTTAACAACTGTGTGTGTGTGTGTGTGTGTGTGTGTGTGTGT